TTACTCCTCTTCCTTTCCATAATCTAAGATTTTGGGACAACATTTCAAAACACTATAGCCCTATGCGAGCCTCGTGGGAACTCTCCCCACCTTCCACCTTTAAGTGCTTTAGCCATGTGGCTAGAGTGAGGTTCCAATAAGCCATACTAGGTATCCAAGTAGGTAGTGCCACCCAAATTTGGATTGGGACCATTCAATCTCTCGAGGAAATTAGTATTGGCTCTTGAACACTTTACCAAATTACCCTATTTATTCGTCTATATTCATTCTAGCTTTGGACTCCACAATGGTTATATCATCATCCACTATATGGGTATAACCTTCTTTAGTCATACTAATCTTTCCTGGCCAAATTGGCTCCATTAAAGTCCTCCCCCCTACTATACTTTTAGAGCTCACTTAACCCCCTAGGGTTTGGGAGAAGATCACTTTGGGCTTTCACCCTCGAACTTGGACTCAGTCTTGGTTTCGGTTTCAATCTCAGTCTCGGTCTCGGTCTCTGTCTCATCCTTGATCTCAGACTTGACTTTGGACTCCATCTTAGGTCCATCTTGGGTCCATCTCAGGTCCATATCAGACTCCATCTCGGACTCTATCTCAGGTCCATCTCAAATCCATCTCGAGTCCATATCGAACTCTATCTCAAATCCATATTAGACTCCATCTCAAACTCCATCTCAAGTCCATCTCAAGTCTATATTGGACTCTATCTTGGACTCCATCTCGAGTCCATCTCGGGTCCATATCAGACTCCATCTCGAGTCCATCTTGAGTTTATATTGGACTTCATTTCAGACTCCATCTTGAGCTCTTTCTCAAATTCATCTCGGAGTCCTTTCTGATACTTCCATGTAGCATATATGACCATAAGATAAGATTTGGATATACTGTCACCGTAGATCCTTGGAATCTTAAGGGATAAATGGGGATAAAAGAGTTACTAAAGGCTCTCTCATCAAGTAATTACCCCTCTTCCAGTTGGATTAAAGGGATGAGAATAAAATAGTTACTAAAGGCTCTTTCATTAAGTAATTGCCCTTTTTTTAATTGGCTTAAGAAAAGAGAGATAAGATGTGTTACAGTTACAAATCCAAAAATCACATACTTCTTTGATCTTGTCTGGGATCATATTGAAGTATTTCTTTTATTTAATAAAGCTCCATAAAACTTCACCATTTATCACAGCCTTATAGTGCTCTTTTGCATGAGCTATGATCTTCCAATTAAGTTTGAGAAGCTTTCCCATTTGGCTATCATTTACCATGTGGCATCCAACAAGTGAATAAATTGAAGCTTGCATAAACCTGCAAAGTTCACTCTCTTGTTTAGGTCAAAATTGGCCAAGGTGTTTTCAACCATCTCCTTAAGTTAGCCTTGTGTACAAAGAAAAAATTAAACATTAGAAATTTCTTTAATGGATGAAGAAAAAGTTTCTAACTTGGCAAAGGTTGTGTATGTATGGAACCAAGACAAGAATCTCACATTGAGTGGCAAAAGAGATGTGTTTAACAATTCTTTGCTTTGCACTGAGTGATGGCTCTATAACCTTGGCATTTTTGCAACTACAATACTTCTTGAGCCACCATACATATTTTCGATTAGCACTGCCACTCATCATCACAGGAGGTGATCACTTGGCAGCACAGTAATTCCTTCAGAAGCACAAGAAAATTGTGGCTTAAGCTGCTAATTAACTTATCTACCATTAAGAAAGTGGGACACTGCAAAAATATCCCACTTTCTGGATATCTATTTCATGCTTTTACCCTTTATTAGTCCTCTTGATGTCAAACTTCTGATAGTGATAATAATAATGGAAACTCTTTAGAAGATTACATGACTTCAACATGACAAGCACATAATGCTATCTATCTTAGAAAATATGAAGAAAAATTATTGGCCTAAGATTCCAATATTTTTTTACTCTTCATGGTAAGCATAGTTTAGCTTAGTGTATTTGAAACCTGATTAAGGGTTGAAGATTCTTGAATATTCTTTACAGCCCATTTGGTTTTTTAAAGCAAACAAAAAACAATGAAATTTTTTTTTTAAAGGAAGCCTTGTAGGTGGGACTGAATGCCATATCCAATGCTGTATGTAGTATATAAAGAATTGGCTGTCAAAATTGTGTGAAAACCAGTTGTAACACCGCTTATAACTTCACTTGATCGATACATCTTGCTAGCAATGTTAACTACTGCAAACAAAATTCATGATCATATAAAAGCACTTGCAGCCAGATAAAATGTAAGCGCAAGCTCCCACAATTATATGGGTATGATTCCCATTCCATTGGCTGCCTAAACTAATGTAGTTTAGTTTTTCACGAGTTATTCACGAGCGAGATCTCACGGCTCTTCTCACACAGTGCATACGCGATTGCTTCTCACTGTGAACACCGCCGCCACACTTGCTCCATCCCAAGTTCTCGTGTTTATACCCATGATCTCTCCCATCAGCTTCGTCAACCTGGCAACTTCCTTGCGAACTTTCTTGATGCTCGGATGCGCAGTGTCTCCCACTCGAAACTTGTGCGTGTTGCCATCGATCTGGATCAGGCTCTCGGCCTCAAGCTTGTGGAGACCTTTGTCTCTCACCATCTTCTTCAATCCAGCAATGTCGTTCTCTCTCCCGGTTTGGCTGTAGATCTCCACGAGGATCTTGTACGGTGAAACGTTCTCTGGATCCAAAACAAACAATCTCTCTGCACAAAGCTTGCCATTCTCCGTGTCCAAGTGCCTCCGGCAGCAAGCAAGTAGAGTCATCCACACTCGAGCATCAGCTTCGAAAGGCATGCTACAATGAGCTCTCTTGCGAACAAGTGGATGTAGTAGAATTTGAGTATTTGGATATTTAATTTAATTAATTATAATTAAAATTTAGCTATTTGAGCTCATCTTAATTTGTAAAGTAAACCACTTTGCTTCATAAGTGTAACAAATTATTTGTATTATCTAAATCATAAAATTTGACTTCAGCATATACCAAATAAGATACTCTTTGATCCTGATAATCATAACTTATGCTAAAGAAACTTAATTGTTTTTTAGTATATACCATATAGATATATAAACAAGCTAGGCTAATGTAGGTTATCACTTCAAGCTCAAAAAGAATGCTGGCCCACAGGCTTGCTGAATGAAAATACCAATGAGGAAATTGATATTGCCTAAGCATTCTATTGTTGAGAGTTTTGCATATGGATTACCAATTGGGTAACACTTGGGACGGAGGTTGTCAAGTCAATGCAACAGTAGTTGTGTGTATAAATATAATTACAGTATAAGATAATAGTAGTTTAGGATGCTTGTAAAATTGTTATTAGCTGCTTTGATATTTCTAACATTTATGAGCATTCATGCTGACAATATTAATTATGAAATTGGTAGAATTAATGCTATAAGTGCAGAAGTAGCAAAGACAATTATAATTACTATTGCAAAAGCAATTAATCAAATTCCTGATAATATAATTCCTTTAGGTCAAAGTCTGTATGGAGATGTATTAATCAATTCAAATAATGATGTTGGATTTGGGATTTTTGCTTTGGATACAGTTCAATTACTTTGTCATGTAACAAATGAGGGTCATACAGAAGCAGGATCTATTATAAGAAGCTCATTATATGAGATTCTAGCAAATTCTTATTATGAAATAATAAATTCAGCTGCTTCATATATTATTATAAAATCTAACCATTTTATTATTTACTATTTCATTAGAAATTATAACCTTCAAAGTTTAGAAAATAATATATACAATAATTCCCAATTCCAGGAACAAATTATATCACAAATAGAAACAAGATGTAACATTTTTACATTTACATTAATAAGTGGTTATATTAACATGCCACATCAATATTTACTGCCAACACAATTTTTAGTTTCTTTAAATAAAAAGTCACATCTATATCTAGACATTGATTGTAATTTAATATTATATGCAGAAAATAGAGTTTTATGGTCAACTAAAACATCAAATAAAGGCTTGAAGTGTGTTTTAAGATTACAAGAAGATGGAAATTTAGTCCTATATTCTTTTAATAAAAATGTTCTTTGGCATTCAAATACCTACTGTAATAATAATAATTGCCATGAAAATGCGAATTTAATACTGCAAGATGACTGTAACTTAGTTTTATATTTTACATATCAGACAACATTGAATATTAAACCAATAGTTAAACATGCATGGGCTTCTAAAACATTTTGTTAAATAAAGTTTATAGTCATTTTTTGTTAACCTTTAGGAGAGAGGTGTAGAAAAATAGAATATGCTCCATCTCTAGATTGCTTGGTAGCCTGGATTTTGTTTGTTCTTGGATTGCACCTTTAAAAAGACTGACTGCTTCCCCCTGTAGCTTTAAGAATCTCATCACTAGCTTTTGAGAGGACATGATGGATGGGTAGCAGCAACTCCTTGTAGCCAAACAAAGAATGGTTGTGGTATCATGGTTTTAGTATATCTTTCGGATTGAAAATGCCCTTTTAACACTCTGCATGTTTACAGTCCACGGTTAAATTAGCATTAAGGGAAAATGTTCTTATGGTTTCAAAAAGACCGAACACCATGAGGCGTTATTTGGACCACTATCAAAAGGTTGTTGTAAGCTTGAATTGCAAAGAAGAGTAGAATTCTAGTAGCACACATGGGAATGCGAGTCTGAGTTATAGCAAATACATTAGACTACTTTTATGGGTGTTATTGACACAGTTTGTGAAATATACATGCAGGTGCAAAGCTTCTTGAAAGGGACGATGAACAAGCTCCACTGTTTTGAAACAATAGATAACTTTAAAATTAAATTCATAAAACCGATGGCCTTTTAAACGGGTTTACTAACGGATTTGTCCATATGAATTCGCTTGGAGATCGGGCGCGCTGCCACACCACTTCAATGCGGCCAAGACGACGGGAATCCACGGCCCGCAGCGCGCAGCTCCTCGTAGATTCGGCATTTGGCCATGGTGTGTAAGGAGCCTGTAGAAAACCCACAATGCTCCATTCAAATCTATATATAATTAGGCAACAAGATAGAAATATTACGAGTATAGAAGGAAAGAAGCTCACATTCTCTACGAGAAAACCCTGCGTCCTAGTTCCTGACCAAGCTCCGGCCGATTTTCAGCAGCTTCTTCAAGCCGGAGTCCTTGTTCTTGATCTTGTGCGGGACGTAGATCACTTCCACATCCGGAGGGATTGGTTTCGCTGCTACCATGCCTTCCACTCGCGGCTGGAAGCTCGCGGCCTTGATCTCCTGCTGCGAGGTAGCCACTTTCATCTGCGAAACCGGTTCCACCACTCTCGAGCTCGCGGCCTTGATCTGCGAAACGTCTCCCACTTTCGAGCTCGCAGCTTCGATCTCGTCTCCATCTTGCGAGCTAGCGGCTTTGATCTGCGAAACTGGTTCCACCTGCGAGCTCGCGACTTTGATCTGCGCTTCCACTGCTTCCGCTGCTTCGCCACTGCCAACTTCTTTTGTTTGCCGAGAGCTAGCGTCTCTGATCTGTGAAACCTTGATCTGCGCTTCCACTGCTTCCACAGCTTCGCTGCTGTTAACTTCTTTTGCGTCTCTGATCTGTGTCACTTGTGTCGGTTGGACTGGGTTTAGCGTTTCCCTGCTGCTGCCTTTGTCTCCGGCGGGTTCCACCGCCGGAGCGCTGCTATCGTCATCTTTTGCGTGGCGAGAGTTCGCCACCATTTTCACTTCCGGGATATCTTTCGCTTGCTCAAAGCTAACGGCCTCGATCTGTGGGACTTCGAGGGAGATACCACTGCTGCCGTAGTGGAGCTCATCGGCCTTTTCCAGAGTCTCGGCGCTGAGCCCTGGAGACGCTACTCTTTCGGCACTCTTAGTACTTACTTGCTGCAGGTGAGAAGAGGACGACGACTCGTTAGGATTCAATGCAATGGAACTCGTCACCCCCGGGGGAGCATTACCTGAAACTTTGGCTTTCTCCTGGCTAGAGGCTGCCAGAGCTGGAGTCGATGGGACTCCCTTGAGACTCCTGGACGAGGCCGACCGAGAGTCTGCTTGTGAGAGAGAAGCTCCTGCCCGGTTTGAGGAAGCCTTCTGTGTCTCCGGTTTTACCAGTTCTCGCACTGACGCTACGCTTTTCCTCATCACAGGCATTGGCTTCTTAGTAGAGGATGATTCTCCTGCTTTTCCAGTTGCTCCCTGCTGTCGGACAGCCGGCGGCTTTGCGTTTTCCTTGCGAACGTCTGCAAGGGAAGGGACGGATCGGCTGAGCGGATTGCTGCTTGACGTTGGCTTTTTTACTGAAGAACTCTTGTTTGTTGTCGTCGAACTCAATGCTCTGGTCGGGGGCTTGCTAGAAGTACTGGTTCTACTCACTTTGGACACGGCCGGCTGAGATTTTGGTGTTGAAGTGCCTCCGGTTCGTGCAGCAATTCGATTGCGACGTTCAGCCGCAATTTCTTCGAGACGTTTCCTCTCTGCCTCCTCCTGCAAGTACCAAGGATGGTTAGATACACGCAGTCAGCATATAACATACCTTCTCTCTTTTTGTCTTCAGAATTGATGATCTTGTTGCCTTGAACCGAGAAGACAATTCGGCCTTTCGTTTGTCTAGCGTGTCTTGCAGCGACTTCAGTCTTGCTTCTCTCTCTGCCTTCTTCGGCCCAGCCTCCTTCGTCAACTTAGCGTCTCGCTGTTCATGGTATTGCTCGTAAAATTTCTCCTCGACTTCCTCTTCTGGTGCAGGCTCAGGTTTCGGTTGCATGGCCGACATTGCCTCCATTTCAACGTTGACGTCGCTCCATCGCTTCTCAAGTGACTCCTTCCCCACCGATCTCTCTGGCAGCATCCATATATCCTCCGGCTCGAACTTTGGACTTTCAGGCTTTTCTTTTGTCTCTACGTAAAGCTGGTCTGCCGGCATTTCGAGCTCCAAGGTCCGTCTTGTCACCTCTGAGGTATCAAGAGCAGGTCGAGAAGGGACGATAAAAAGATCCTGTAGTACTGCATCTGAACTCATATCCTTGGAATCGTCCTGTCGATTTTGATGCTGATAAGACTCGTCTATCGGATGTGCTGAATCCGAGAAACCAGAACGCTGGGGAATGATGAAGGAATCGTCCAAGTTACCATCGTGTTGGCCTGCTTTCCTGAAAGACAGTTCTGAGTCGTAATTGCTAGAGACGAAATGCCCGGCCTGATTCCTCCCAGGCAGCACCAGTCCATCCTTGGACGCTAGATTACTAGATTTCATCTGATCTTCAGCACCATACTGGGAACCTGTCTTTCTCCCATGAGCTCTTCCGTCACCATTAAGCATATATGAGTCATCGGAAGTAAACTCTGAACGTCTCCTGTCGTGCTGTTGTGGGAGTGCTTCCGAGTCAAAAGCATACGCATTTCCCCCAGATTGAAGGCCGCCTCTCCCTGGTACCGAGAAGTAAGTATCATCAATCGTATCCTTTCCGTTTGCTGATGCATGGGAGCCTTCAGACGAGATCTCCGTTACCACAGGAACAGATTTGTGGCGCCTCGTTTTCTTTTTGTTTCGACTCGGACGTTCTTCGCTATAATGTTGCTTCCCCCCTTGATCTATCTCACTGCTAGTTTCAAACTCACTGCTCTCATCGGATTCGTTTTCCGTGCTCCTGCTTTTGTTTCCACCAGCAGGTTGATCCTGTGACCCTGTAATATAATTGATATTCCGGATAAGAACCATGCCTGACCGTTTTCCTGGACGCCCGACTTGAACTTTCTTTAGTGGCGAAGACGTTCTTCTCCGAGGTGAAGACTTCCTGCTGTTCTTTTTGCCGTTACTTTTTTCTGCTACTTCATCCTCTTCCTCCTCTGCTTCACCGTTGGTGGATGCGTTGTTGAAAGTACCGGGGGGAGGAACCGCCCAGTATGGATTCATCTGGCCGTAGTTACCGTTCACGTATGGATTCTGAGGCATAAATCGAGGATCGTAACCCTGCTCGCTGCCGAAATGCATCCAAGGAGGAGGATGTCCATACGGTGGCATTCCCATCATCTGAGGAAAGCTGTGGTGCTGATCAGACAGGTAGCCGGACGGTTGCCGCTGGAGATTTTCAAGGGAGTCCTTTCGGGCCGTATCATCTGTTCCTTTCTCGTCGTGAGCCTTGGAGGCCTCAATCATGTTCTTCAGTGGGGCCAGGCCCTCGGGAGCAATAGTTATTCCAGTGCCGTTCGCCTCCGGATATGCATACGCGCCCTCTGCTGCTACAAGTTCCATTTCGTCCAGCCATAGACCACCTTCTTGCTGTTTTTTGCACAAAGACGCAAACTTGTGACAAGCTTCGCTGCATTTGTGGAGCTTATTGTTAGTCATAATGCGTAAAACCCCGAGGTAGCTCACCTTAGTCGCGCAGCGCCAAAATACTCTGCGAAACCAAGAAGGTCGGACAGGTGATCCATATCAAAACCGGCGGCAACTGCACGAGCAAATGCCATCCCTTGTTCTCTTTGCAAGACCGCGTGTCGAGTTTCCATAGCTTTGATCAAACGGCACCTTCAAAATGGCAGCGGTTAAACCCGAACAAACCGGTACGAGCAATCACTCTCTACCTGGAAGTTTCATTGTTTTCAGCGTCGACCTCTTCTACATCCTTGCGGATCTGTTGACACAAAAATGAGCTGCTTGACACAAATTCAAAAGGTTCGGACCTTGCTTTGCTTGTTGAAAGATTTTCCACCACCTATATCCACAGTTAAAGAAAGTTGAAAATCATGGTGATTAGAATGGGTACCTGAAACAGTCACGACTGATCCAGCAACAGATTGCTGGTCGTCTCCCTGAAGTCACGTAAACATCATTCAGAAAACCATTTGAAGAAAAGTAAGGTTACCTCATTCGTGTAGTTGCACAACTCTTCTTCGAGCTGAATTAGCTCCGTCTCCACAACGCTGACGCGCTCCAGCACCTCCGGAGTGCTAACGAAGCGCACAAATCTACAGAAACAGTCCCAAGAATTATTGGTGGAGCGCAATGAATGGTAGTAGCGAAAGGCGCTTTACCTTTGCATGGTGCCTTTAGTGAACCAGCTTGCTTTGCCTTGGTTGCCATCAATCGGGGGCTCGAGCCTGATCGAGTAGCCACCAACAGCAATTTGCTCCTCGGCTGCCCTCAAATGGGCAAGGAATGGCTTGAGCAATCCAGATGCCAATTTCTCGCTCACACCATGGGACGATATCAGCAGCTCACACCTGGAATAACAATGCAATATCAGGATCAAAGTATCAGTCGAAGCTAAACACTCTGGAAACCTGGTCCTGGTCGGTGTGAGCTGGAAGACGGCGAAATCCAGCACTATATCGGCCTTCATCGCGAATGCAGCGCCCTAAGGAAGCAGCAGGCTCTAGATCCAGCCGATCTCACTCGCCGACCATTCCTCTCGAGAATCCGGCGACCCTTGTCCTACTACAGAGAAACAGTGACGAGATTCTCACAATCCGATGCTCGAGAAACCTACATTGCTCGCTTACCGGCACAGGCAGCTCCAGGCGTCCGAGAGAGGATCGAAATTTCAGCGCGGCATCACGATTCGAGGCGATCCACAACCCGGCGGCGAGATTATCGAATCAATCCATGCCTGGCAACCGCTGGCCGGAGCGCTCCTCCCTTCCCCGATCGAAAACCTAGCGCGCCTTCTCACTCTCTTCTCCCCTTCGTCCACAAAAAAGAGAGAAGGAAAATCACGGCAATAAAACCACTTTGATTGATCCTTCTCTGTAGTCTAGTGTAATGATTTTTATTAAATCGGGGAACAAAACAATGGTGAGCTGTCACATGGGTGGGTGCCTATAGGCTATACCCGAAGAAATATACATACAAAAATCCCCTGGCCACTGCAACTGTGCCACGTGGGACCCCATACGAGTAGTTGGGACATCATAGATGCTTATCATCCACATCGTGATGTGAACTCCACACCAATTACCCCACATCATGCGGCATGCCCTCCATCCATGCATGTAAAGTTGACGGTCCCATGGTACGTGTGAATGGAGGATCCAAGGGCCGGTTTAATCGCGCGGTGAAGTGACGTGGCAACCCGGCCAAATCATAGCTAGCTGGAGACCACCATTGTTTGGCCTGGCAAAAGTAGAGACCAAAATTCTTCTTTTAAGCTTTGATCCACTTCGTCGAAGCCCTCTAAAGAATCAAATTTTTCGTATTTTTCTTAAAGTCCGAATGATCTCTTCGCGCGCTTCTTCTTTGATGCGAGCGAGTAGACTCTGGTCGATCCAACGAGCTCTGTTAGTAATTGATGCAGTTTTCTATTTTACCTGTCGAGATCATGAAGTTGTCGTTCCTGAGATCTTGGAAGAACTTCGCAGCTGTGGCTTCTTCGGTAACTTAAGCCGACAAGGACCACCACCAGCGGCGCATCTAATGCTTTCCCAGTGACTTGCTAACAGCTCCTTTATCTCCGATATGTGTATCTAGCAGTTTCTTAGTCCCCCTCCTAGAAGAAAAACTTTTGCTTTCTCTCGTCTCCACTGCAAAACTTTGGACTTTCCCTGCCCTCCTTTCACCCTGTCCTGAGCTATCCTGTGCTACTGGAATTACTGCTTCTTTACCAGCTCCTGGATCGTGCTTACCATCAGCTTACAATTGATCGGCTTGGTGAGGTAAGCGTCCATTCCAACAGCACGGCATTTGGCTTCGTCGCTTGTTAGAGCGTGCGCCGTGAGTGCGACGATGGGAATGTGTCGGTCTGTGTCAGCCTCTGATTCTCGGATGGCCTTGGTCGCGCTGTAGCCATCCATCACCGGCATCTATCAAGAAAACACAAAAAAAAAAAAACAAAGAAGAGATTTTGTCAATTAATAAGAAGCAAAGATCATTGAATAGTAACTTACTGCACAGTCCATCAGGATCAAGTCGAAGTGTAGAGTCTGTGACTTCAGAAGCTCGTTAACTGACTTTGCCACTGCTGTCACGGCTTGTTGTCCGTCCCCGACTATTGTCACCTCAGCTCCAAGCTTTCCCAGGATTGTCCCGATCATCCGCTGCAGTATGGGCGTGTCCTCCACCACTAGAATCCGCAAGCCAGCTAAAGGTTTGGAGCCTGAGGGCTCCACTGCTGCATGAGTCGGGGACGCATTTGATGTGCTGATCTCACTTTCCGGTAGGCTGAAAGGACTTCTCGCAGAACTTGTGCTCTTTGGCTTGGTCGGTATTCGTAGATCTATAACCGGGCCGCTCCACTCGTTCTCGAGGTCCTTGGCACCTTTCCTGTCCTCCTGTACACCGTCCGCGGTGGTGTTTACCACTTCGGGTGTCAAAAGTCCACTCGTTGGTGATCCCGGTGTACTGAGAATGTAGTCGTCCGAGTGGTAAGCAACGTCTGAAGAAGGCACGTGATGAACGATGCCCAAACCACCTCCACAGTGCCTCACAGGTACGCTACTTGTCAGGCGTGGAGTAGAAGGTCCGCTTGAAATGCAGCTCAAAGGCTCGGATGATGCCGGCTCAAACTTGGAAACTCGTTGAAGCAAAGTGAGAAGTCTTTTCATTCTGCTCGCATGTAGAGGCTTGATCAAGATAACTGATGGAGCAGCTACCTGTAACGCCTTCTTGAAGGAAATTCCGGAATCAGGAGGGGCAATCCAGCCGACCGCAAGGGAGTGCCGGTGACGAATCCTTGAAAGGAAGCTGAGTACTTCGAGTAAGGAGGCCGGCATCTTAGATGAACTTTCACAGTCCGAGGGTCCCGACTTCCCCCAAGGGAACATAGAAACGTCGATCAAAGCCAACAACGAAGAGCCGGCTTCTAGAAAGCTTTCCAGAGTCCGACTGCTGCATCCTGCACTACTACTGCCCAGCGGAGAATAGTCCGCTAAATCACTGAAATAGCCAGCTCTCTGGCATTCCCTTGTGTTTAGCCGAAAGTCATTGCAGCCACTGCTGCATATAGCCTCCATTGTCGATAGAACATCCTGAAAGCTGCTGACATGAGTCACCCTTGTACCTTTCTTCTCTAACCAGCGGATGCAAGTGCTTGCCGCCATACCATCTGGCATAGCGACCACCACCTGAGTGCGCTCGAGAAGACTGAAGGATGGTGTCGGATACGAAACATAAACTTGCGGCGATCCTATGAGAGAGCTCAAGCTGTCGGGTGACGGCGAACTCGCCACTAATGTTTCCGGAGGAACATCCTTCAATCTCTCCATGACAATATTGAAACGAATAAGAGTTCCAGGTCCTTGCTTGCAAATGACTTGCACTTCTCCACCCATTTTCTGAACTAGCGACCGGACAATATAGAGACCAAGGCCAGAGCCTCCGTGAATTCTCGTCGACGATGCATCTGCTTGAACGAAACTGTCGAAGACCGTTTCATGCATGTGGGACGGAATTCCGCAACCTATGAGAATAGTTCTGTTAAAAACAATGTCTAGAACGTAAATCTATCAATCGTACCTGTGTCATCAACTTCAAAGATGAGATTGATGAAAGATGGACCATCACTACTAATTTCCGGTTTTTCATCAGCCCAACCACGAATGACTATATGGCCATTTTCCGTGAACTTCATGGAATTTGAAAGCAGGTTGCTAAATATTTGTCGAATTCGGCACGCATCACCTTTCAAGGCCTGCGGAATGGTATCTGAAATACAAGATAATACATGGACTGGAAACAGAATATCAAAAAACAAAAATACCTGAAAGATCCAACGCAACATCCACACTAGCTGCATAGGACTGGGCTGCAAACATATCCACAAGAGATTCCAGCTCGCTCGCCAGATTAAAAGGAGCAAGATCCAAGTCCATTTTTCCTGCCTCCACCTGTTCAAGCAGTAAGTGCAGAAGTCATACGTGAGAGAAACATACCTTACTGATATCCAGCACATTATTAACCATGCTAAGAAGCCCCGTTGCGCATCGTCGTATTTGTCCAACGGAAGTTTCTTGCTCGGGAGTTAGAGTGTCACATGATAGAATATCCAACATGCCAATTATGCCAGCCATGGGAGTTCGTAGCTCATGGCTGAAAGAAGTCATGGTCAGTCCTCAACAAATTAGGATTGTTGTTGTCATGTATACCTCATGTTGGCAAGAAATTGGCTTTTATGATTGCTTAGTTGTTCGGCTCGATGTTTGGCTATCAGCTGCCGAATCAGTTCTTGCTTCAGCTGCATTTCGGTGCTCATATTGCTCGTAAGCACACATATTAGAAGACAGCCCACGATGGAGATAGCAATCGCAATGCTGACAGACACTGCAACCACTGTCCGTTTCCACGACTCGATCTTACCCATTATGCGTTTCTTTGGGATAGCAGCTACTGCAGTCTGTGAAAACAAGAACATTAGGCTGTTCAAAAAAATCCACTACAGACTCACCAGCTTTAGGCTACTGAAAGGACTATTGTTCACTGGCATAGTATCAATGTAATACTTGGTACCCATAAGGTTAACGTTCACAGCATGAACTTCCAAAAGATTATTCTTGTATCCTGACTCTAAAAATGTGGCAGCTGCAGCAATTGTTGGATTGGAAGAATTTCTGGCATCGCATAAAATGTCGGTATCTTGCATTTCGCTCGACATCGCTATGATTTTTGAATTATTGTTTTCGTCTTTCCTGAAATTCAGTAGATTGAGCTCCAGAGCGAAAGGAAGTCAAAACACGTACCAGACAACGTAAAGAAATCCTCCAAGCAGGTCCACTGTAGATAAATAGTTTGTTAATTCTTTCAAGGATGTTGTGATTGCCGAGACGCCGATAAATTCATTACTTTCCGACAACACCGAGGCTGCGGCAGCTATCACTGGCTCACCGAAAACCCCCGGCTCTATACTCCAGTTTGCCTGAAAAGAAAATCACAAGCATTAGATTCGCATACTACATTAAGATCTCCGAGACCTGGCTGGCTTGAAATTTGCGCATGATGGAAGGGTTGATGACATAAGGCGTCGAATTGCTTTCTACGGCGGGAAACTTTCCTATTCCAGTTTTTGACCCAGTCAGATTCTGGAACACAAGCAGTGCAATAGCGTCACGCGTAAAACTAGAGCACCGGAAAAGATACCTGCATGTACCATGCTTTAGGAACGCCTGCAGAAGACTCGTTGGCGAAGAACAAGTACTCCGAACTGTTAACTCTTGAATAATCAACCGCATAACCATCTCGGTGTAGAAACGAGACGGAGCTCAGTTGCGGCCTCGTTGATAGAAAAGCCCAATTGATTCTCCTGATCTGTTAAGAGAGCTAGAGCAACAAACCGAAGAGAAGAATAGAACGAACCTCGTCCTGTGACGAAGCCCAATTGCGGTTGCTGAGAAAAACGTTTTGGTGAAGGGAGCTCAAAGTAGAGGACATGTTGTAAGTCTCTCCTAGGATCAGCGACGTTGTTTGCAAGCTGCTTTGGAGTAGCTCACGCCGCAAGACCGAAGCCGCGTGGTTCACAGCCTTCTTGCTATAGGTGGAAGTGTAGTACCATGTAACGAGGCTGGTGCAAACGAGCATCAAGGCGAATAGAATCTGCGTTTCCCGATGCGTTAGATAGTCAAAGAGGCACAGAGTGAATCAAATAAACCACGTACCATTATCGCGAGGCGAGAGACGAGCACGGTGTTGGTGCGGTCCAGCAGCCTCCTCTTGCGGCAAAACGCGCGATGGACAGCCGCATTCGCGAAGTTCTCCACTGTCACGGAGCTCCCCATCATGTCCAAGATGATATGCTCCAACACCGTCTCCTTGCCATCCTCTTCCCGCTTGAAGCACCATTTGGGCAGCTCCAGCGATTCGCAGCCTCGGCCAGAGCAATCAATAGAGTCCCTCGCCTTCGCCTCTGCCTCTTGCCGCTGCTTCATCGCGTCCATCCCTCGGCGATCATTTATATTCTAGCTGCCTACCTATCCCCGAAATCCAAAATATTTCCATCCTTGCCCGAATCTCTGCCGAAATCCCGAGCTCGCTCGCCTCGGAGCCAATCCAGAGCGCCAATGCCCCCAAGAATACCGCGGCCAGCGATCGACGCGACAATCCTGGAGCACTCATACCTCGATTCAGACCAGAATCTCCGCCACGCTCCTCCCGCATTCCATTCCTAGCAATCCCATCGCCGCAGCAGCGGCGCAGTACCAGTCGATCGAAGAATGTAGCGCTAGCGCCGAGGGCAAGAACCGGCCAAAACGCAAGATCTTCGCAGCTAGAAAAGCGTATATTTGGGGACAGATGAAAAACCCTCTTCCTCGACAGCTCCAGCCCGTCACGTTGAAGGGCACGCTTCGCTCGGTGTACGGCACGTTCCACGTGGCCCGGATCATTAATGGCCCGCCACCAGTACGGCCATTTGCTCCTTAATTCCCGGCGGTTAAAAACAAACGACTTTAAACATCCCTCCCGGTTTAAACATCATCCAATCTTACGGCGTCCGGTAAATATCGCCGTCCTTATTCTGCCTGGGTATTGACGGGAGCTAAGATTAACAGTAATAGAACGCTCTCCTCCTCGGATTAAGCGTTCTCTTGTCTATCTATCGCGTGATACTGGTTTCCTCCTCCTAGTCGCTTTGGCGGAAGTTTGCGAAGGATGAAGAGAACCAATGCCGACGGGAGGATCTCGACTAGCTGGAAGGAACAAAACCAAGCAAAGAGTTTGTCATCGAATCGAATCCATCAATCGAGAAAATCCTGGGAAGAAAAAAATCGACTTACCGAATAGTAGAGGACGTTGAGGAAGGGGTGGTATAAAACATCCAGGTCCGCGTTCTTCTCAAACGTTGAGAAAGCAAGCTGGTAAGCGAATAAAGTGTTAGATTTTTCTGGCCAGAGTCAGAGGAGTTTTGATGGGGAATCTTACAATGAACGTGCGAATCGTGAAGCACGCGAAGCAGATGCCGGTCACTCCACCAACCTGTAAGCGAGAAAAGGGCTCTGGGGTTTATACCCGATACAGCAAAGACTACGATCGCATCGTACCTCGTGAAGTTTCTTTTGGCGTCCTTTGGACTCGATTGGAAACCTCCGCAACATCATAAAAAGCCTGCAAAAAACCATCGGGGAACGTCGAGATGGGAAAAAAGAAAACTTCCACCTTCCACCGTAAACTAGAAACCCAAACGCTGCCAGCAAGGAAACACCTAACAATCCGATCCAAAATCCTGTCAGATTGGCAAGCAGAGAAAAACGCATTGGATGTTAAACAGTACCAGCGAAAAAGAGCTTGGAGATTGTCAGGATAACTTCGACGGGCTTTAGCCAATAGATAACCCACAGGAGTAGCTGTCACGAAGGGAGAAATGCGATCGTCTCTCAATTAAGTGCAAGATACGATTCGATTACCTGACCGATATAAACAATGCAATTGATAACGACAAACACAGGGCGCAAGTTCTCTGCTGGGAGATTCTTGGCCTAACAAACAACAAAACTTCGTTACTCGGATAAGAACAAATCAAAGTATTAAGAAGCACCAACCTGGCGATATATCTCGGCCCAGAACAAAACCAGGAGAGCGTAAGTCGTGAAGAATAGGAGGCCGGGAAGATCTAACAGGATAGGCTGTAAGATCTGTAGAATCCCATGGAAAAACTCTTTGTTATACGATAGAATTCCAGGGGATTGCGAGTTTTGTCTTACCTCAGGCTTCAGGTACTGCAGTTGCCGGCGGAATAGAAAGACTGCAGCTCTAACTGATCGAGGAAGACGAATCAAAACAAGAGGATGAGAGAAAAAAAATGAAACTTTTCACCTCCATTTACAAAGAAATTGAGGAGATGGAACACTTTCTGCGTTGTCCAGCCATACTCCGGCACCCGGATTTGTATTCTAACGAGTTGGATCTAACAAAGGAAGAAAATCGATAGGAAACACAGCTAACTTACAAGAATCAACTAACTTACAAGGGCAGCAATGGAGAGTAGTGCGTACGCCGCCGCCAAGCCGTAAAACACCCCGTCCTCGAGCGATTTGGAGCTCCTCAACCCCAAATCCTCCACAAACGCCGCGACGATCGATAGACGCTCCATGCCTTCGCGCCCTACGTCATAGGAAGCGCCCGGCAGTTGCGAATCCCATGCCCCGGGCCACTGTCACCCTAGAAATCCAGCGTCGTCTTCCTCCTCCTCGATTAGGGCGACGGCGCAACGATTGAGAAGAACACGAAGAAACAAAGAAAATATTTCGCGAAGCCAGAGCTTTGCAAGTTTCAAGGGCAAAAGTGGCACGTGGCGACTGGCTTGCATGACGGGACACGTGGCGGCTGCATGGACTGAAATCTGGCAAGCCCAGAGGTCGCCACGTGTTCTTTACGTGATTCGAGCCTATATACACCGGGAGGGGACAAAGTATTTTGACCTATTTGCTCGCTCATTGGGAGGTTTTCTTCGATTGATCGAGCTCCAGGGATTGATCTGCTGCCGCAGCTGCTAGAAATGTGTCTCCGACGATTGATTCGCACTAAGGTGAGTGATTCGATCGAGAAATTTGCTACTGAGGGTAAGATCGATCTCTCATTTTGATTTCCAAGACCTCGGAGGAGCGCGAGGTTACCTATGGCTCTGCCTGTCTCAAGGGCAGATCCTCGCATCCCATGGAGGATTTCTTCGTCGCCGACTACAAGGAGATCAAGCAAGGAGACAACACACACGACCTAGGATTGTTTGCAATCTACGACGGGCATCTGGGACACAACGTTCCAGCTTATCTCCAGAAGAACCTCTTTGACAACATTCTCAACGAAGTACGTTCTTAGTTTGTTTTCTTTGTTTCGCGATTGAATCTGGATTTCACTTGCGAAAACTTCCATAGCCAGGATTCTGGAGCGATCCCAGCAGTGCCATTCGAAATGCCTACGAAAGAACAGACAAGACCATCCTCGAGAAATCGACCGACTTGGGCATTGGAGGATCCACAGCAGTCACAGCGATTCTGATAGACGGCTCCCGGCTACTCGTCGCGAACATTGGCGATTCTCGAGCGGTTTTAAGCCGCGGAGGCGAGGCTTTGCAACTCTCGGTGGATCACGAGCCCGGACAACCGGCCGAGCGAGACACCATCCAAAACAAAGGTGGATTTGTCGTCAAACTCCCAGGTAAGCACAAAACCCTCCACATTCTCAGGACAAAGCGAAATCAATGAATTCTTTCCAGGTGATGTTCCTCGCGTGGATGGCCAACTTGCGGTGGCTCGAGCTTTCGGGGACAAGAACCTCAAAGACCATCTAAGCGCCGATCCAGACATCAAGGAAGTTGCCATCGAGCCGAAAGACGAGTTCCTGATACTCGCGAGCGACGGACTCTGGAAGGTAATCCGATCGGAAATGATCTCTTGAAAAAACGCTCGCTGCGATACTCTGCAGGTGATGAAGAACCAGGAGGCGGTGGATCACATCCGGAAAGTTAAAGATCCAAAGCACGCCGCCGAGAAGCTGACGTCGCAGGCCGTTTTGTTGAATAGCTCGGATGATATCTCCTGTGTCGTTGTCCACTTAAGGAAGAAATAAAACGACAAGAGAATGGAATCGACACAAATCAATACTGTACATTCCTTGTAACTTTGCAACGGGAGGAATCCAAGCCTGGAAACTTTGTGTTCTTCCTGTTCTTCCTTGACACCACCCTGTTCTTCCTGGAAATTTTTTTCTTCCTGGAACTTAGTTCCTGTCCGCGAAGTTAGATCCAGCCCAGCTTCCTCCCAATGATACAACAAATGCCAGCTTCAAACCATTGTTCTCTTTCGGCCACCATAGCCTTCCAGCTGGAGAAGAAAAGCTTTTTATCTCGACGAAGAGCCTTCCATCCCGTCCAAAGAGGCTCGAGTCTTCCATCCAACCGAGATATAGAAGAGCTCGAGTCTTCCAGCGAAGAGCTTCTTCTATCTCGTCGACGAGTCTTTCACGAACACCATCACTGACTGGCTGCCCAGAGCCGACGCTGCCGATTCGACATGCTGGAGGAGGAACTCGTAGATCTTCCGCTTCAATCTCGCCAGCGTTTCTACAAACTGTGGCTCCAACGAGCTCTCGTCTTTGCCGCTGCCTGTAGCGTCCAGCCAATCGTTCACTCTCTTGAGTTGCGAGAGCATCAACGCGAGCTGGCTGTTGTGTAGTTGCTGCTGTTGCTGTTGCTGCTGAGCCCCGGTTACTTGCTCGGCGTCCATAGCTCCGCTTGCTTGGAAACCATTGTCCAGTGCTTCCTCTATGTGCTTGACGAACCAGCTCTGTGCTTCCAGCTGGAGTTGCATCGCTAGCTCGGCAGTTTCCTTGAGCCCGTTTCCTCTCACCCATTCCATGGCCACTGGCTCCGGTGCCGGCTTGGGACCCGATGGCTCGTTGCTACTTGTCTTGGTGCTTGACTTTAGAGTCGATCTTGCTGGAACAGCTGCATTGCCACCGTTCTTTCGGTTCGTCGTAGAAGCTCTCAAAGGCGAGGGAGGCCTTCCGGCGACTTCTGAGCCATCGCCACCTTTTCTCTTTTCTGCCGGGACTTGTTTTTTGTTGGAAGCTGGCTGTGGCGAGGACGCTGCGTTGAAGCCTCCATCGAGAACTAGAACAGCTTGGCTAGAGCCTTTGACTGTCTTGGACGAATCCTTCTTTGTCCCGGTCTTGCTTCCTATCGGCTTGCTTGAAACTGAGAATGCGGCCAAGTCCGTCGACAATGCCGTAGCGATCCACTGGCAGGAATTCTTGGCTTTTTCTTTGGAAATTCGCGAGGCGTCGTCGTCCGACATAGCGGCAGCAGCACTTACGGGCGACGCAGTGATGCTCGACTCCGTGTTACTCGAGTCCTCATTTTGATCCGTCTCTGTTTTCTTTGTGACTGCTAGAGCTTGCGCAGTCGTAAAAGCCTGACCAAGTCTCTGATGGAAGTCAAAAAACTGCTCCACTGATGGTTGCGGGAGTTGTGGCTTTGACGTTGAACATAACTCTGCAAACATACTGCACATTCAAGTTATCAATGACCAACTAAAATATGACAAGATGACGACTGTTTACCTGATGCTACGGATCACGCATTCCGCCACGGATGCCTCTTGCAAAGCCTCCGATGCAGCAGCTGAAGCCGCATCACGCCTGCGGACAGCTTCCTGAAAATAATAAAAACGAAAAGAGTAAACACACATTCAAAAGAACACAGGGATCCGCAAACCTTTCCGAGCTCAGCCAGGTTTGCAGGGAGGGAATCCCATGAAACGCTTCCGTCCGTCCATTTCTTGCTATTGATTATGATATTGCTCTCACCGGGCTGACTCTTTTGAACAGGCTCAGGTTCCCTTGTCGACTGCCCGGATTTTGCAGCTACTCTGTTTCCCTTTCTGGGGGTTGACACCCCATCAGTCTGACTGGGAGCTGGAGCTGGAACTGGAGGCGGAGGTTCGCTTTTCTGCTTGAGCTTTGCTGAAGTTAAAACCTGTGAACAGACAGATGAACGTTAGAAATATGTTGTAATATGCGAAATACTCACGGAACTCTTTGATACGGGAGATCTTGACGATGTCTTGGCCTTCCCTTCCTTTGATCTGACCACGCCCTCCCAGCTTTTACGCAACGTTTTCGTGCTAGCTGGAAACACTTCAATTTTTAGTGACACCCCTGATCTCCTCTTCTTTGATTCCGGTGGACTGCTAAGTTTTTTTAAACCTTTTGCAGACGCTCGAGTAGAGACAGGAGATAAAGTCGGCCTTGGCAGAGGAAGCTCGTGGTAAGGAACTTTTCTATCTTCAGAACAGCTAACCACATTTCGGCCTGGAAGTTTGTCTGAATTTGCCTTGGTTCCTGTACCTGCTTTGTCCTTTACTGTCACAGATAATTTCGCAGATAATTTCGAAGGCGTAGAAGCAGTGTAACTCTCGTCAAAGTCGAGCTTGGACCTAGAAGACGTTCTGTCTTTAGAAGAAACTGATCGAGATAGCCTGTCATTGCTCTTCAGAAACCCATCCCTGTCCAGTGATTTCGATAGACTATCGGCCGTCCCTACTCTACTCAAGTGTTTTGATCCCGGATTATCCATAACAGCCCGCTCAGCAAACTTGGCTGCAACGCTTTCCGCAGAAAATGGATCAAACTTCTTCTTAGCGTTCCTGTTCATGGCATTCTCGATGGCATCCACGGTGGGAACTAAATTCGCCGGTCCACTCTTGACGTTGGGAATAACTGTAGCCACGAGGTCCTCAGGAGTACCAACGCATTGATGCCTTCCCGGAAGAGCTCTCACACCCTTGAGCAGCGGAACCGGAGACCCGTATTCAAGCCTATCAACGTGTATAAACTGGCCGAGCTGGAGCTTGTCACTGAGAATCAAATCGTCATGCTCCTCGGCCAACGAAACATAAGTTGCATGTGAAGAGTCTGACACCTTGAGGTAGAAACCGTGATTCGGCCAAAGCTCTCCTCCGGCTAGCGCAGGAACAATCCCAATGACTTGCAGCAAAACCGAGCGATACTCCCCTGCGACTTTGGTCTCAGAGCTCATGTTTTGCAAGAGCTTCACCAGCACCCCTGGAGTGAGGCTCGCCATGGCTGTGAAAAAACTCCTGTCCCTGTTTCCCTGTCCCGTGAATTCTAGCTTCTAGTGACCCTGTAGATCCAATCTCGAGGCCGCGAGCGCATCACGCAGTCCATATATCTCGCTTCCGAACTTTCCCCCAATCCCAATTGGAAGCTAGAACGAGAGGTGAATACCTGGTCAGCAGGAGTGAGCCTTATGCCCTCTCAGATCCACACGCATCCAAGACGAGGCTCGAAGGAATTACTCCTGCGCAAACAAAACAGCAAAGACGAGACCACGTCAAGACAAGCATTGAGCAAAAGCCTTAAGACGATCTAACAAGCCTTTGAAGATTCAAAGCACAGGAAGGAAAAAAAAAAGAAAAAAAAAAAAAGGAAGAGCAAAAAAAAAGGAGAGAGTGTTGTTACACCATCTCCTTCACGAACTGCGCCGCATTTGCCTCGGCAAGCCCAGAGTTACCAACCATAGCCAGAAAAGTACGCGCGGGGAGGATAGAAACAAGAGGCAGGGAATGAGGTTTTTGACAGCAACACTTTCCTAGAGCGCGGATAAAACGAGCTCCGCGCTGCGACGTTTGCCAGGACGAGCAGGCACTAAACACCAAAATGCCCTCCTTTACGAGACACCGCTCACAGAAATTACCAGAGCTAGAGCAAGCATGGATTTGCGAGGAGCGCTCTAGCTGCCTCACATCGCTAAGCAGGGATTTGCAGAGCTCCCATTATGAATGCTTGCTTGCAGCGCGCGCGAGAGGGCGCGAGAGAGAGGAGGGAAGACGCGACGCGACTGATTACCGCAAGAGCACTCTCCTTAGCTTACCTTAGCTGCAAATCACGCAAGAAATGCTGCTTCCAGACGGCGCCCGATCCGACATCCCTAGCTCGCCATCGCCGCCGATCGCCGCCTCCGCCTGCCTCGACGCCACGAATCGCGAAGAAACGCCGCCCAGGGTTTCGCGATTTCCCACGCGATCGAAAGAAGAACTCTAGCGAAATATTTTGGCACAATTAAACACGCAACCGCGACTGGAGCGCAAGCGTTTGGGGTCACTAACCACGCGACTAGTCGCCCGCGACTCTTCCACGTGTCGGGCATTGACTCGCCAGTCCGGGCTAATCATACGAGCGCCTCCAATCGTCGTGCGTACGAAATTCGAGCTAGCTATACATCCATGCCATACAGGCCCCATGCATCTATATCCACGGTGGCTAATGAGTTCACGCGTCGCGATCCAACGGTCCACGTCACGGGGCCTGCCCCACAAAAGAGAGTGATGTGGACCGGCGAATGTGCGTTGCTAGCTAGCATTGCAAAAAGCCTTGAGTTTAATCATAGGAATCTTTGTATCTAAGCTTCTTTAGTTCTAATAAATAGAAGGATTGTTTCACTAGAATTTAGGGTTTATATTCGATGGAATCGCACGCTCTGGACGATCTTATAACTCGCCTTCTCAAACGGCCGGGCAAGCCAGTCCTAATGACTGAGCAGGAGATTGAGAGCTTATGTGACAGTGCCGCACAAATCTTTTTATCGGAAGCATCACTGCTCGAGCTTAACGCTCCCATCGTCGTGTGTGGTATGTTCCATCTTAGGTTTAAATTAACCATGTGGAATCTTGTAAAACCTTAAAATTTTAGGTGACATCCATGGGCAATACAGGGACTTGCTCAAGATCTTCAACATTGGAGGCTTTCCTCCCAGGTCAAACTATCTCTTCCTGGGGGATTACGTCGATCGGGGCAACCAAAGCCTAGAAACCATTTGTTTGCTGCTCGCGTACAAGGTCAAGTATCCACAGAACTTCTTCTTGCTGCGGGGAAACCACGAAGACTCACAGGTCAACAGAGTATTTGGCTTCTATGACGAGTGCGTGGGGCGCTACAAGAGCGAGGATGTTTGGAAGTGTTTTAAGCGATGCTTTAAGTGCCTCCCCATTGGAGCGTTGATCGGGAAGAAGATCCTGTGCGTGCATGGAGGCATCTCGCCGGAGTTAGATTCCCTGGACCAGATTAGAGATATTACAAGGCCAGTGGAC